CAAATAAACTGTGGGTTGAGAAGCCAAAAGCTCTAGTGTTGTGGTGCATTGGGTCATATTCCAATGGGAGACAGGCCTGTTCAAATGGGACTGCCTGTGTCTCATAGATAGAAGGAGCTAATCTTCTTATCCAAAGACTACTTTAAAGGCCCTTTTCATTGCTCAGGCTAATAATACATGGAAATTGTGCAGTGAAGGCAAAAGTAGCAAAAACTTATCGTGCTGGAACAAATGTGCCAAGGAATGTGAAAAAAGCTTGTTTTTTTTTTTCTTCCTTCGCCCCCCCCCCCCAAAAAAAGGTTTGAGGCCATACCATATCAGAGTTCCAAGTAACTAGCCTGAGAATTTAGAAAATGAGATGAAATCTGACTCAATGGTCAGTGTAGAAGCTTCCAGGCTGACTTGCGTTATGAAGGTGTTAAAAACACTGGTAATAGCCTGTATTAACATGCAGTCTGATGAGAAACAGGGACAGCTAGTAAAGTGCATCTTACACTTCTACACACACACACACACACACCCCAAATCCTGCTTCATAGCCTACTGCATTTTATTTCACTGCATTTTCTTTCCACTTCTTTTTAAACTGCGTTCTCAATGTTATCAATCACATCTCCATAATAGCAGCTGGGCAAAAAGAAATGCAGGTCATAGCTGGCTAGAAGTTATCTCCATGCTCATGTCACAGCCTCTCTTTCATTCAATTGAATCTCTCTCCCTAACAGCTCAGTTAGGCAGAAATATATAGAGGCTAATAATTTTTGGAAGTTTTTTTTATTGAAACCTGGTTGCAATTGGGCAGCAGTCAGAAATTATTAGAAGTGACAGTGAAATCAACAGCAGTCTTGTTTCAGTAGGAAACCGAGGATTAGAAGCAGAGATTTTCTTTAATACCAGTAGTCTTTCTGGTAATTCAGACATAGGATCATGAATGCTTACAGATCTACAGGATAATGAAACAAATCTCAGAATACGCTCTGTAATACTCCACAACATTCAGTTAGAGAATTAAAGGAGTTTTTCTAATAAACGAACCTCCCATATATTAATATGGGAGACTTATTTGCCAGAAGTCAAGCACACAAAACAAGCTATACATTGCAATTAGAGTATATACAGTTTTCTTTAAAAACATTCCAACATGAAACACTGAATCCGAAACATGGTTTGTTCCGTGAATGCCATTATGATTGAATCACTGAGCCTGTAGCAGTTACTTGTCTGGAAGCCAACAGTTACAACTAGAGTACATTAACTATGTGGAAGGAGGATACCTGAAGGAAGCAGTAAGAGTTATACTTTGTTTCTGGAAGAGGCTTACTTCCTGACCTGAGAGAAATAATAGAAGTAGTCTACAAATAAAAGTAAATATCACAATAGAGGAAAAAAGTCCTCAAAATGGAGGGGTTTCCACAGATCCAGAGAGATGACCCACTTCGTCAAAATCCTCATCCTGGATAAAAGTGACAACGGGCAATGAAAAATAGGTGAAGCAATCAATACAAACTGGACTCTTTTGGTAGAACAAGAAATTTATATGGAAACATGAACAGTAGATAGCCTGAAATAGGAGAGAGCTTGAATTGTGAACTATCTTCTTTTTGTACAACCTGGACACTATCAGGAGTGTATTCTTCAGCATGTAAAGTAAAAATATGTAATTGCTCATTTTCATTTTACTGCAGATACAATTAATGATTCCTCTTCTCATTGCTTAATGGCTTCAAGTACGCAGTGAAAGGGAATGTGGATAAGATGAATACTGAAGAATTTGATATTGAAGTATTGCCCCTTCAACAAAACAAACGCATCACTTACGCTGCCACGCCTTTATGACCCATTGCCAGACAGAGTACTATTAACACTTTATAATCAGAATACCAAATGCTCAGATTAATTACACACTGCAGATCAGAGCTGTACAAGCAGTCTCCAGCCTGCATTCGGAACGTCATTCAGCAGAGCCCTGTTTACAGGAACACAGGGATAGCACATGAAGAAGCTTTTAACTTTCCAGGTTTGAGAAGCTAGGGAGATGTGTGGCTGCACCTCTCCTTCTAAGAACATGTGTACAGAAACAGCTTGCAGGCTGCATCACCTTGCATACCTCAAAGTCATTAAGGATGTTTGCTGTCTAAAACAACTTGCACTTTTCACAGATACAAAGAGCTTCATTAAAAAATCATTACTTTTGTTACAGTAAGAGATAATTGAATCAGCCAGCAGTTGAAGACAGCCAATTGAGAACAAAATCTCCTGTTCGGTTGCTGATCGTAAGTAAATAAAAATTTGTCAAAGAAAACTATCTTCTGTTTAAATACAGTGTGGAAAAAAGACAAAAAGGCACCTTAAGGCTGAGATCAAAGCTCTCACAATCTCTCATTTCACACTGATGCAGGCCAGTGAACTCAATATTATCAGTGAAGTAGAAGTCAGAAAGATGTTGTCTTTACCAATAGTATTCAGTAAGGAGAGTAGAGACCAAAGCTATCTTGCAGAAATTTCTCCCTTTTCTTCCTGACATCACTATTATAACATTGAGTAGCAAATCCAACTTAACTTTCAGCACATTTGTATTTTTGTCTTTTACTTGTTATTTAGGATTTGATTTGATTTTTTTTACTGGAGAGAGTAGGGAAGAAGTAGAAACAAAAAAAATCCCCCACAAGGAGGAAAAGCAGTCATACACAAACTTGGAATTCATGGCTAAAAGGCTTCCAGAAAAGTTTTCCAAGGCATTCAGTCTGGTATCACAATTGTTAACAAAAGTAGTTTTTCAGGTGTTGTGTTCTTACTCTTTTCTTCCCAGTACTCTCAGTACCATCCTGCATCTCTCTTGCAAGAAAGACTCACTTTCCCCACTCACAGGACAACTATGTATATCAAGTCAAATGTTGCTGCCAGGGTTAAGAGCTCAGTTTTCACGAAGACATTCACAACAGAACTATAGAGTTGTACATACAAATGCAAATTCTCTAATTCACAGTGCTGTGTCACCTTAGTCCATATGCACTTTTTCTAGACTGTAGTATAAGATGATATCAGAATGGTCACAAATTCACTAAGGTGATTTTGCTGTGATTCCTTGAGGTAATGTTTCAAGTATTAATGATGGGAGAAGAGTCTTGTGTCTTATTAGAAGGCTGATTATATTTCTGTTTTCAAGAACTACGAATTCCTATTTAATGTTTGTGCAAGTTACAACTTTAATCAAAGATGTTCACAGTGGAGGATCCTACGGAGTGGAAGGATTTGAACTCTGTTTACTCACTACCTTATACACACTATTTCTGCTGATTTGTATACACAAGTACTGCTGTTCCTGTATGACACATCACTTCCACAAACTGCACCTAGACTTGTTCCATTGCAGCTACGCCATCCACTGAGCCTCACCACACTGCCCAGCCATGCTCCCATTTGCGTTCTTTTGTCATTCAATCAATCAATATATAAAAGTCTGCCACAAAATGGAATTATGCCATGTGAGGATTGATCCAGTGCCTGCAGGACACTAAGCCCAAGAAGCAGAGAATCCCTTGATATACTGATACCATTAATAACATTTAGAACTTAGTCACAGCTGTAGTTGTTAAATAGAGAGAAATAGATACTGTCTGCTAGCAAAATTTTATATCATAATACATATATTGACATTCATACATTTAAAAGCAATAGAAGCTTCCTAATTGCCTTTATTTACTGACTGAACAACTGCATTAAACAATTGATTTTCAGACCCTAGCAGGCAGAACTCGAGTAAAAATGGAAAAGATTTAGCAAAATGACATCCGATTTCTTAAAACATCCTACATCATCTGGAAGTTCCACGTGACAAATTTGCAAATAACAGAGCTCCAGCTTTCATTATGGCCCATAGACTAAGCCACTTCTAAGAGAGAATGGCAAATGATAGTTTCAGGCTTTCTCTTCCTTTCCCTGCTTTCCCCAGAGATACACTATTATTTTATTTCCACAGTAGAACTGCTATGCTATGCTTTCACAGAAAAAAAAAAATCCTAAAACAAAGAAAAAAAATCTGATATGACACGCACTGCAAACACAGTTAACAAGCTACTTTAATTATCCTCCTAAGATTTTCTCATTTGTACTCTGATCATCATGTTCACAAACTTAATTATGCTTCATTTGTTCATTCTACACTCATCTCAGTGAGTATTCCAGGTGGAAAAGATGTGTCTGTTTGTAAGAGAAACCTCAGGTAATTATTATATATTGTTATTTTTCTACATAATATGTATTTTTTTTTATCTTTGGGCAATATGGAGTAAGAAGTCAGGGCTATTTCACAGCTCAAAAGCAAAACTTGCTGAACAGACATCAACATAAAGATCATCACTGAGCAGATGACTGAAGAAATGAAGAAAAAACACAGTGCTATCATTTGCATTTTAAAGATTAGTATTAATAAATTCTGGTTCCTCAGCAGAAGAAACCTTTCCACAAACTTGACCTTTGAGAAAGTCAGAAAGAACAGCTGGGAATAAATGTGCTCTGTAAGTCAAGTACTGAGATACTTATGCAGTTACTACTTACAATTTATGCACTGCTAACACTTTTAAAGTCAATAGGAATTATTGCATTATGATTGAGTAGAGACCATGTAAACCCTAGTGTATCATAATTTAAGGACTGGTGAGTTGTTTCCTCTAACTTCAGAGAAGGCCTAGATTTGCTCACCTAGCATGACCAAACTTAAAGTTTACTTTTTTTGAGATAGATCTAATTAATTTTACTTGATTAATCTGCTGAGATGCAAACTGTTGCCCCATATTCTCATGCTTTTTGAGCACAATGTCATGTCTTAGAATTTAAAGCTACATAGAAGTGGCTGCTCTGACACACTGACCTTCAAAATTCTGGTATAGTAATATCACATAAGATGTTAAGTTTAAACAGAATCAAGTACTAAGTTTTTTTTAAAAAAGACAAAGGCACAAAATAGTCAGCATTTCAATATAATCCAATCCATGTCTTACCTGAACCAAATTCCATCCTTTTAGAGATTCTGCAATGATAGAGGTAACGGTTGCACATACACCACCAAAAACCATCAGATGATTAGGTCCATATTTTATTGCATCATAAAAGGCTTTGAGTCCCTTTGCATTGTCACACTGGAAAAAAAAAAAAAAAAAAAAAAAGCAATGTTTAGTACAACAAATGACATTATTTAGTAAGAAATAAACTATTGGTCAGGGAGAAATTTGAGGGATAGCAATTAACCTGTATAATTTATAAAATATTTTGGCCCAAGCATGGAAAACTAGAGCACTCTGCTCTCGAATGCTAACAGCCTGAAAAAAAAAAATAAAAAAAAATCAAGAACATCTCTCCTTACATCAGTCAAAACCTCAATGTTTTCCATCTAAGCTGGGATATCTGAATTGTGATACTACCTTTTGACAAATAATTTAAGAAAACCAAGAAAATGTTATTGAAACTTTTTCTGCATTCAGAAATACTACCTCCCAAAGCAGACTTTGGAATATAGCACTAGATGTTAGTAGAAATTTCACAGTTGAAGGAAAATTTGACACCACCTCTTGTGCCTATTTGTAAAGCAAGCTCCATCTAAGTAACCACTCTCCTAATGGCCCCCAGTCAACACTCTGGATATATATAATATTACCATTCAGTCCAAAATGTATACATCTCTGCAATGATATATATATTTATAGTTGAGAGCCTGTCATTTAGAAAGACAACACAAAATCCTAAAAAAAAAGTCAAAATGATAATCCTTTGAAGTGCTAGGAATTAACCCATCTGCTTTCACAGTACACTGTGCATTGAGTAGCAGATTGGACTAAATGACCTTTTCAAGTCCCACTGAAGATTATCTCTTCTGGGTTTCTTTGATAATTAATTTGATTATGTTTTTTCCCCCAGCTGCAAACAATGATACATTTAATTGAAACCAGGAAACCAAAACAAATAACTGAAGTTCAGAATTTGATTCCAAAGTGTTCTGGAAGTCAGTCTACCAAAGGGTCTAATAGTAGCTGCCATTGCTCCAGCAGTAGCTACACTCTATTTTATTTTATTTTATTTTTTTTTTTTTTGAAACAATATTCTCTGCCTACTTGAACTATTGTACACCAATCTCCAATGTTTCATTGCAACAATTCATTAAAACAGTTTAATTACTATCAATATCCAAGTACTCATTGTTTAGTATTCAGCTAAGAGAATAAAGATTTTGCATAAGACATTTGCAAGCTTATACTAATCTACTTACTGAACTGATATGATAAAAGAAAAATTATTCTATTTGCAAGTAACTTGCAATAATAGAATTACTGCTCTTACCATTCAGAAGGATACAGATTACTACTGCACAGGCTTCAAAATTGCATAATATATACAACTTTTTTCTTATTACAGAAAAACAAACAACATTTGGTACAGCAGAGGCTCCCTTGTCAGTTTGATGGATTGTTAGCAAGCTCACAATATGAAGGAATCAAGTTTGCAATCAGGCACTGCCCTCCGTCCTTACTCCCCTATCTCCTACTTAAAGATCAGTTTATTCCAAGCACAGCTAGACTGCTGTACTGCTACTTTACTTCTGTAAGCAACCAAGGACAACAGAGCTTTAAGAATATGAACTTATCTGAAGTCTTTCCCCTCATCCACCCATCCCAACCTGCAAGGAACTTACTTTTTTTTCCACATCAACTTAAAACCAGACAATATTGTTAATGCATTGACAATAATCATTTTAAGAAATACATACATGAAACAAGGAGAATGTTGACAGCAAAATAACAGTTGGAAGCTGTAGCCCATGAAAAAATTACACGAGAGAAGTTACAAAGAAATAAACTTCCACATTCTAAATGGGAAAGACTTAGAGTCTATTACCTGAAGTAAAATTCACACTAAAATTTGTCCTTACACCACAGAACATCAAGACATTCTTTAACTGTTATCTGCCTACAAAATATTTCTCACTGCAGTGAAGCCACCTGTACAATCAGTGAATGTACAGAAGTTATAATTATGAGATATACCAGAGAGTTTGGCTACACAGTTATTACACCAAAGCAGAAAAGATAGGAATGCTTACCCATATCCCGGACTCGCCTATGAAACTCCAGTGGAGTGGATCTCCAGAAGAGACCCTCTCCCACTGGTAGTCAGCTCTTCAGCTCTCAAATGGGTCTAGGAGATATGGAGCCAGGCCCCACCCCTTCCGGCAGCACAGGGGATTTGCTTTCACCTGTGCTTCCATGGCTGACTCATTTCTCACCTCAGGTGATCAATCAGAGGTTCAGGCCATGATTCAGCACCTTATAGAGTTTTAAGGACATCAGTGGGTAAATTTGCTGGGAGGTTCAGAATTGCTGTTTTATAAACTTTCTCCATTCTTACTTATTTTCTCTCTATACATTTATAAAGATTCTTACATGAAAACAACGCTTCCCCAGACACAAAGCATTTCTCCCAGGAATACATTAAAAAGTTTTTTTTTCCTTGTACAATCAATAGGTGTACAAAGATTAGGCTTAGTAAGATTATCGCAATGGAAAGATAAAATAAATGGAAATGCTCAGTGGTTTTCTAGGCTCATAATAAACTCCACAAGGAGCAATCTTTAGAAAAAAATCCTTCCTCAGTGTCAGTCAACCTTTCAATGGGATCTGGGAGCGATGAAGCCAGGGTCCACCCCTTTTTGTAGCACAGGTGAATTGCCTTCACCTGTGCTCTTACAGCTGACTAATTGCTTGCCTCAGGTGGTCAATCAAAGGTTCAGGCCATGATCAGCAGTTCCCATACACTCCTCTGTCAAACTATTAAGATTTGCACAGCAGAGATATGTTAACAATCAGTCCAAAATACGTACAACAATGTGTGAGGTACTGATGTCTAAGACTTAGTTACAAGCTGTAATGCTATAACATGATGGAAAGTACAGTGATAATAGTGGGGTAGCAAAGTCTTCGGCTACAGCAAGTAAGGACAAGCAAAAAGGCAGCAACTGTAGATGCAGAAACAAATGAAAGAAGATGCTTACCTTTGGAAGGTCTGAGACCTCCATGAGGATACCTTTGCCTCCCTGTGCCAACCCTGAAATGAGATCTGGGAAGGGATGGATCCTGGCTCTAACCCTTCTGGTCACTTAGCTGTATTGCATGCACCTAAGTTCCCCTGGGTTGGCCCTGCCTTCCCACCAGGTGCTCAATCACTGCTTTGAGATGTGACTCGGCATTTCCTCTACACAAGCATATCGTGTTGTCACCTTTGCACATTCATACTGACTAGTCTCAGTTCTCTGCCTCTTGGGCTACCACAATTAATTACAGGAGTCAGTCTATTCCTTGATCGAAACTGCCAAAATTGTTCAAAATATGCCTCAGAGATGAAGAAAAAGAACCTAATACTGTAGTTGGCCACAACTGGACAGAAGCAAGAGAAAAAGAAAAAAGAAAAAAAAAAAAAAAAAAGAAAAGAAAAAAAAAAAAGAAAAAAAAAAAAAAAAAAAAAGGATAAAACTGGGAGAAAGCAGACTTTCACATTTGTTTAATGTCACATTTCACAACACATACCATATATAACATTCTTCCTTGCAAGCAACTGAACAGTCTGTCACAAGCATGAAAAAGTAAACATTCAGATAAAGTTAATAGCTTTAAGGAGCCAGAGAGACAAGCTGTTACAAAGCCTTCCTCCTGTCTCTAGTCTGAAGAATGTATCCCCAATCCCTTTTACAATGTAACCTTTTCAGAGATCCCAGACCCTGTTGCTGCTCACCATTATCTATTGTCAAACCCTAACATAGGCCTACAAGTGGGCAATGTTGTTGAAGGGCAACAAGATCAAACACCACAGAAATGCCCACCCCATAACCAATCCAAACTGCTCTCATCAAGTGACTATTACTAGGTTCAGGAGCAATGCTACGCAGAAATCTAATTGCAATACAACAAAAGTATGCATAAGAACAAAATTCTTAGAAAAAGGTGGAGACTGCAGAGTCCTGGCCACATGCAGATGACAAGAAGCTGGCTGGGTTATTAATTTGAGCATGACTAACAGGAGTGAAGAATAAAAAGCCAAAAATTGAAACAATTAAAAACATCACCCAATGGAGACCATGCTGTTTTTGCTCTTCCACCTAAATTGACAATAACGTCTCTATTTTACTGAGCTGAACTGCAGGCAGCTCACTTTTTGACTCATGTTAAAAAAGAGACAGACGTGCTGCATGGTTGAACTTGACTGCACGTTATAACAGCACGGTTGCAATGCATTTGGCTGGAGAAATTTATTACTGTAATTGTACCTTCAGGTACACGTGATTTAGTGCATGACAGATTTTTCTTTGGAAGGAAGGGTTTGAATCTACTCATCCCAAACATATTAATTGTTTTGCTTAGCCTCAGTCAAGAGCTGGAAATAAGACGTGTACAAATAGAAAATAAACATATTAATGAATAATTATATTAAATATATCTCTTAATGCACTGATGTGATACAGACAATTGTGTATGGACAATTCTCACTGAGAAACATTAGCACATCACCAAGCAAGATGTGTGAGGAGTTCTAAATCTCACTGAGACAAAGAATTATTAATATCACAGATGGCACTTCTCAAAATCATAGTTTCCATTTCCAAGGAAACGGAATCACTTATTTTAATTAGGAAAACAGTCAGATGAACTGCTACATAGGAGTTGAACAAGTTTGAGGACTGAAGTGTTAACCTTCCTGAACCTTCTTCAAAGGAGTCTGGCAAATAAAGACCATCGACCTCTACCAAGAAAGGAATCAGAATAAACAGGGAGAACGTCCTGCCTGAAAGGTGACGGGTGCACAAGGACAAGAAACCTCTCTGGGGAGTACAGTATGGCAGCCAAAATTAAAAGAAAAACCTTCTTGGATGAGTCCAAAGGGTAATGGCTGCACAGAACCATGGAAAAGTGCACAGCCCTGAAGCCACAAGAAGCTGAACAGACCTCTGTCTCCTAGAAGGGCTGCCTGGCAGACAGCAAGATACCAGGGTATGCTCTCAAAGACTCAGAGCCACAAGAGTGTGACACAGTGCTAATCCTCAATGAGGAGAATGGAAATTTGCACATCTGATATTTCAAGTCTGCTGACTCCTATG